GTTTGCCAATACATAGCACTCTAACAAATTTATTGCGGTCGTGGTGGATTCTCTCTATGTGCAAATTTTGTCTAACTATACATGTAAAGTATTATATACACAAAAAAGATGAATTAAAGTCAATCACTGCATGCTCAAATATTGAAAATTAAAAAAACAGGATCATTTGGATTGTACTCAATATTGCAAATTCACTGAATTCCAGTTATGCTGAATTTGTACCACTGAGACTTTTGCAGACATGATTTTGATTAGTGATGCAGGCTGATTTAACGGTAAAATCATATGGACAAAAATAAGTAGGGGAGGTGGTGGGGAAATGGCGTAGTGACAAGTGGCGCTGCAATGGCCGATGGAAAGCTAGCTCGATTCCGCCTATGGAAACAACGAACGGCAACCTCCGGGGACAATAAACCGAAACCTGAGTTACTGGAGGCCTCACCTGGTAATCCTTGACTTCGCAGGTGAAGGTTCGCATGCATTGCGCTCATTTATCCATAGAGTTCTAAGGAAGGAGATCCCAAATCCTGTGTCCCTTAACCGTTACCTTTTGTTCAACCCTTTGACCGATTCTGGTTTATTGGTAAGTAATGGGGTGAGATGGGTTCACTCAAAAAAACGTTCATAACAAAGGCTCAAACGAACATTGTTTTAACTACGAAGATTTGATGGACATCGTCAAAATTCAATCCATACAGGTTATCACTAAATGTGCGAAATCTTAAGAACGGTCACAAACAGCTGCTCCTTTTAGAGCTGTTCATCTTCACTTCGTACAAAGCATTAATAAAGATCCAGAAATTCTAGTAAACGCATGAACAGAAAAATCAGTACAAGTAATCTAACTTCCGAATCACAAGCAAGGACAAATTTGGTATCTGACCTAATGTAGGTTGCAACTCTGCAAACATTCAAAGGAATTTCTGATATCCGCATTTGTCAGCTACACAGAGAAACTTTGATTGATAATATCGCAAAGTAAAATAAATGGTAATCCTACCTTCTATCGTCCCATTGTACGTATTTCGCTCGCAATCTTAGTGATTTCCTAAAGTGTTCGCTCAATGTCATTGTCTTTAGGGTTTTGGAGCCAACCAAGATGCTGCTCAGGACTCTACTCTTGGTCTCCACTTCGATTTACTCTGCTTACAGTTGTCCTCCAACACCCACTGCCAGAGCCCGGGCTACAATTTTCCGAGCCCGCATGGGCGCTTATCCCAACGAATCAATAGGTATTATTGACATCACCCAATCAGGAAATCAAGTTCGCGTGAGTTGATTTGTTTCTGGTCAGGATGGCTTGTTTGAAAGCTCATTCATTCAGTTTCGAGGGACTGTGTTTACTCTGACGCCGGGGTACCATGGAATGCATGTGCACGCAATAGGCGACCTGGGTAATGGATGCTTGGCTGCTGGTCCTCACTTCAATCCTTTCGGAGCGCCACACGGAGGTCTGAAGGGCAGACGAAACGACAGACATGTGGGAGATCTGGGCAATATTTTCGCTAATGTGAGTTTGGCAGTTGTAACTTATTATGTATCTCATGATGTAGGAAAAATTAGCAATCTGGTAGCTTAAATTTCGGCAGATGGAAGCTAGGCAAATTCAAGTACTTGGGTTTTATGTCACAAGAAGATACTGCTAAACTAATCGCTCCGAAGTACACGTCTCCGGAAATTATAACCTCAAACTTTTACCAAGACTGTCTTTACAAAAACGACCATTTAGCCCACAAGTAGGGTTCCCTAAAATAACAGCAAACTTTGTCAGGTGCTCGTTTCTTACATTCTAACAGAAATTCGATACTCAAGAATATCGCTGAATTTTGATCTAAAAAAAAGAAATGCTTCAAATTTTGCGCACAGAGTTGCTCACAAAAATGTGCTCATAATCAAGTTGAGGAGTATTTTTTAACGTCGCTAAAAGTTTCTGTCGAGGTTGGTTAATAGCTTGTAGAACAACCGTCAAAATGTGGCAGCCATTATCCCTGGCCTAATCTTAAGCCCAAACCAGAGCCAAAGCCTAAGCCTAGTCTAAGCTGAAGAGATTAAGGCTATCGATGTTTCATATAGATAATAGGGTGTGGTAATATCGTCGGAGACTCAAAAAATATGTGGCACTATCCCAATCTTAGCCAAGACTGAATCTGAGCTGAAGCCTAAACCTAAATAAGCCATGGTCAAGCCTAAGACTAAGCCTAAGCTGAAATGAGTGTTGTGAAAACTGGAACAGGCTATCGAACTATTATTACATTATTCGCTGAAAATTTTTTTGACTAGGTCAATAGGATGTGCAATGATTTAAAAAAGGTGTGGCAGCCACTACGTATCTGGACTAGATTTACCTGGCTGCTGCCAGTAAGCTTACACTCATCAAATAAATTCTTGCAGCTATTCACCTCGCAAGTCTTGATGATTCAAGATTTCTAGAGGATTTTTCCACTTATTTGTTTTATCAATTCAATTTCAGCGAAACGGAGAAGCCATGTTTGACCTCAGAACAACTGGAGCATCGATAACCAGAGGACCAAGAGACATAATCGGGAGAACCATTGTTATTCACTCGATGCAGGATGATTTGGGCAAAGAAAATAGGGGTGAAAGCGCCACCACAGGCAACTCCGGAATGCGCGTCGCTTGCGGGCTCATTCTCCCTCGATGAAATCGCTGTTCTATTATTATGTAATAATTTATTGAGGCAGGAGTGCACAAAATGCCATTACATGTTATCCATAAGCATCCTCTCCTTTTGATAGCCTCTGTTTGTACATATACTTCTACACAACATTGGTATTACCTTACAAGGTCAAGCTGAGTCACATGCATGTGAAAGTCTTGAAACGATTATAAATGTCTGTGTCCCACTGTCACTTTATTGTCAATTG